AGGTCTGTTCCATTTACCGCACCACTGGAGGAATCAATGGGACATACAGTTAATGAGGAATAACTGGAACTAATGGCTGTCTGCTTCGGTGAACACTCATGGGCCGAAGCCTGAGTGTAACATCCCATTTATGCTTATTATCTTGCATTAAGCTGCTCATGTTATCAATTAGAAACTTTGTACATTTTAGGATGTACGTTTTATTTATATTTTGTATAATTTGATTGAGTTGCTTTTTATATATATTTCAATATATTTTTCAATAGCATGAATAATATATATAATATATTTTGTAACGCTGTGCATACCATTATATTTTCTCATATTAAAAGCTGAATTGTTGCCGCTAACAAAATGTGAAACTTTTAATAAATAAGTTGATTGACACAATCGCAGAACAAAATATTCCAGCATCATTAATCTGCAATTCATTCATTCAATTTATCATTAATTTTTTTTAACAATTTATGTTCCATTCACACATTGTGCATTAAGCTTCATAAAAACAGTAATCCTGATTACATCCACTCTATGATATATAATTAGTTTTTTGTTATTTTCTGTCAATGCATTGTGGAGAAAAAGCACTAAAGTATGTGCCAATCATACATAGAATAAAATGCCATAAATATGTGAAAATAGGAGAAGAAAGAATGTAGAATAAAACATCAGCAGTCCAGTTGGCTTTTCTGCTAATTATTGCGGCCAAAAAATACTATTTCACAACTTTTCTTTCTCTTAAGTAAGCTTTTATTTTCCTCTGGCCGACAATGGGAAACAGGGAGATGGTGGCTGAAACAGTGGCTGGCTAAATATGGGCCTTTCATCCGGCTTAACTCTACAAATGGACCTCATTGTCTTGAGGAATTCGATTTTCTGCCATTCTGCGTGCACGCTGTGTCCCTCTCTGGGGCCCGACTGCAGCGAGCGAGGCCCTTATCAACAGCACTCAGGGTGTGGAATTGAGGAATTGAGTTCTGCCTCAAATCAAACCATGAGAAAGAGCGACTGAGAAGCGAACAGGAGTGAGAAAAAGAAGAAGAAGAGAGAAACGCAGAGAGGAAGTGGGGGGAAGGGGCGGGGGGAGTCAGGATAAAATCTCTAGATGCTTCCACTCTCCCACTTAGACACAAGCCACACACACACTTGCACAACACGTGTGCACCTGCTCAGGCACACACAAGCTCGTACGGTATGCATAACTCGTGCATTCGGTGTAATCACACATGGGCACACATGAGTACACACATACTGTGTAAAATTTGCCAGTAAACCCATTGATGGCTCTCCCAGTGGGGAGGCTTTTATACGCTCTAATTTCCAGTGTTATCTTCTAGTGCTCCGAGCCAATGCCCAAATAGAGCTGTTTTTATCTACTAGATAACGGCTGTGTTCCTTTGAATGCGTATGTGCACTTGAGTGTATGTGTATTTGGGTGTGTGTGATGCTCTGTAAGCCATGCCCAACATTTACAGTGCCACTGTTTTTCAAAGTCTACCATTACTTATTGCTTACCGTCCTTTTGAGAGAAAAGGGTGTCACTATATCTTTTGTCATTTCTAATTAAAATTCGATTTGATTGATGTTGATGAAAATCAGGGCTTCACGTAGAAAAGCATCTACTGATTTGGCACTAACAGAATCCATGCAATAATAATTATGATTATGAATTCTCCATGCAATAGTAATTATGATTATGAATAATTATGAAATCCATTAGTCTCATCAAAACAATAAAAAAAAACAATAGCTATCATGTAAATGTCATAAAATTAAATACATTTTCCTGATTATTTTTCCACCATGAAGTAGGGCAAGATGAATGTCGGTCCGTATAAGTAAAGTTTTGAGGAATTTGAGCAGACTTTGATATTAGCCTTACTTTAGCTGTTTGAGTTTTTCATCATGCTTGTAGTTAAAATACCTGCTGTCAGCGCCTACAGGCCACATGACTTCTGGAGTGTATCTACAGTGTTTATAAGAACAGGTTTTCTCATTTGACTGCCAAGTGGGTCCACAGTTCCAGTACATGAGTGTATTTTCTATAGGATTTGTCAAAGAGCACTGGCTGCTGCTAAACGTAAACGATACATTGATCTGCAGCTGTTGGTTACAATGCGTTACCATGTGTGACATTGCTCATTTTGGCTGGACAGACAAAAACTGGCAGAAGTCTACCTGGGAGGGGATAAAGTTCCAGTTTCAGTCGGCCACTCACAGGTTTTATTTTGTTTTTATTTTAAACACGTAAAAGAAAAAGATAAAAAAAAAACAAGATAAAATAATATAAAATGGAATGAAAAAATTAAGCTTACACACAAACTCAATGAATAAATCCTCAAACAACACAAATTAAATATCGTATTGGAAAAGGAGTAGGAGGAAGCATACACTTATTTGTTCTTACCCCTTCTCCGTTCATCAGTTAAATTATAAACATGATTTTCTCTACTTATATTTATATATACACATACATTTACATAAATGCACGCAGACATATTACATATACAGTTGAAACCAGAAGTTTACATACACTGTATAAAAAAGACACATAATCTCTTTTTTCTCTGACATTAAATCAGATTAAACTTTTCCTGTTTTAGGTCAATTAGGATTACCGAAATTATTTCTATTTGCTAAATGCCAGAATAATGAGAGAGAGAATTTTTTAGACAATGTTTTTATTACTTTCTTGAAAGTCAGAAGTTTACATACATTTCATTAGTATTTGGTACCATTGCCTTTAAACTGTATGACTTGGGTCAAACGTTTTGGATATCCTTCCACAAGCTTCTCACAATAGTTGGCAGGAATTTTGGCCCATTCCTCCAGACAGAACTGGTGTAACTGAGCCAAGTTTGTAGGCCGCCTTGCTCGCACATGCCATTTCAGCTCTGCCCATAAATGTTCAATAGCATTGAGATCAGGGCTTTGTGATGGCCACTCCAAAACATTGACTTTGTTGTCCTTAAGCCACTTCCTGGCTGATGTCTTGAGATGTTGCTTCAGTACTTCCACATAATGTTCTTTCCTCATGATGCCATCTATTTTGTGAAGTGCACCAGTCCATCCTGCAGCAAAACAACTCCACAACATGATGCTGCCACCCCTGTATTTCACAGTTGGGATGGTGTTCTCAGGCTTGCAAGCTTCCCCCTTTTTCCTCCAAACGTAACGATGGTCATTAGGGCCAAACAGTTTGATTTTAGTTTCGTCAGACCACAGGACATGTCTCCAAAAATTAAGATCTTTGTCCCTGTGTGCATTTGCAAACTGTAATCTGTTTATTTTGGAGTAATGGCTTCTTCCTGGCATAGTGGCCTTTCAGCCCATGTCGGTACAGTACTTGTTTCACTGTGGATAATGACAGACTCTTACCAGCTTCAGCCAGCATCTTCACAAGGTCTTTTGCTTTTGTTCTTGGGTTGATATGCACATTTCGGACCAAAGCACGTTCAACTCTGGGACACAGAACCCGTCTCCTTCCTGAGCGGTATGATGGCTGGACATTCCCATGGTGTTTATACTTGCGTATAATTGTTTGAACAGATGAACGTGGCACCTTCAGGCATCCAGAAATTGCACCCAAGGATGAACCAGACTTGTGCATGTCCACAATTCTCTTCCTGATATCTTGGCTGAGTTCTTTTGACTTTCCCATGATGTTACACAAAGAAGCAGTGTTTCAGGTGTGCCTTAAAATACATCCACAGGTATGTCTTTGATTAACTCAATTGTTGTCAATAAACCAGAAGCTTCCAAAGACATGACATCATCACCTGGGCTTTCCCAAAATGTTTAACGGCATAGTAATCTTAGTGTATGTAAACTTCTGACTTTAAAGAAAGTAATAAAAAATTGTCTTTAAAAAAATCCTTCTTTCATTATTCTGGCATTTAGCAAATAGAAATAATTTTGGTAATTCTAACGGACCTAAAACAGGAAAAGTGATTGTCTGATTCCATGTCAGACAGTGAGAAAAAAAGCGTATGTTTCTTTTTATACAGTGTATGTAAACTTCTGGTTTCAACTGTATGTTGTTGATAAACAATTATCCACATTCTATGTACAACATGTACTGTGCTGTATATCACACTCTGTTATTAACTAGAACTTAACTATCACCATAGCCCTTCCTCATTCTTATATCTCTGAATAATGTTTTATATATCTACTTGAGGACAAAACCTGTAGAGCAGGAAGTGGAGAGTGACATCCGAATGTGTCTCCCAAATCCATACTACATATAAGTTATATACAGCATATACTGTATGTATAGTTTTCTATATAAGCACATCAAACATTTACAAAAACAAAACAAAGCAGAAAGCAAATTGTCTTTTTTGTTTTCCAATCTCTTTCTGGAGCTGTGCATTGCATTGTCGGGGAATAGCAACTATCCACAGCATGCTCAACCCTATTTTGTATGTACTCCTACTGGTTTTTCGGAATGCATAATTTTGTCACTTTTTCCGGTGTGAACATAAAAACATGCTCATAATTAGTATGTAGTATGTATTTGGGACACGTCAAGGGACTCAGGCGACTGATGTTGGAGCAGACATTCAGCAAAAGAGCGAGCGGTGCACTGACGAGAACAAGACCATGATTAAAAGGTTACAATGGATACAGTATAGTGTAGCGGTGGGAGGAGTATCCCATGTGAGTGAAGCAGCAGAATCAAAGTGACTGCCTGAAGTAGCTCACATGCTTCACTTCATAAAAGCCACACTCAGAACGAGTGAAATTCCGCTTCGCATTTGTACTGCTGCATTCAGTTTTGTTTTTTTTGACATGCAAATGAAGCATGCTAATTCAATGAACTGCCTTTCCTGTTTATGCATGACACAAATAAATATAGCACCTTTTATGAACTTGAGAAATCAACGTTTTTTCACTTAAATGTTCTCCTGAGGTCGACTTCACCAAAGCTGTTGTTGCAGTGACGAGCCACGAGTGCGGTGCTGCCTTCTTACTTTTGTCACTACTCTCTTCCTCAGGCGGGTGTCCTGCATGCCATTAACCAATTAACCAGAGAGAGAGACAGAGAGAGAGACAGAGAGAGAAAGAGCCTGTTACAGGTAAGGACAGCAGCAGACGCACATACAGAAACATGCTACTATCAATCTGATGTGAAGTAGTGCTATTTACAGCAGGGCAAGCACTGAGTCACCTCGCTAGTGAGTGTCATTCGCCAGGACACGGTAACTAGGCCCAGTGGTGTTCTTAAACCACCGTAGGGCATCAAGCCAGTGTGTGAGGTGTCGGGGCTAAGTTACACATTGAGGTGTGACATTACCGCCGGTTGTTGACAATAAACCGGGGTTGCTGGGTGCTCTACGGGAGCTTTCACCCACTGAGCTCAAGTTATCTGAAATGTCTTTTCTGGGCTGCAGCTGTTAAGTGGTGCTTACTGCGGCCAAGCTTCACATCTCGTGTAGCAGCGGCCAAGAGGCAGAGTCGTAATTCAAGAGGTAATAAAAAATAAAGGCAGAGAATTATTCAATTTGAGTTGTGAGTCAATATTTAGCAACTTTGCAGTCGAAATGATGAATTTTTCAATATGTTTTTTGTTTAGCGTAGAACTTCTTTAATCCAATAATGTGTTGATGAGTTATTGTTCTGTAGCTCAAGGAAGTAATGTGTTTAAAGAAGCAGTATTATACAGCAGTAGGTCACATGAAGAAACAGATAGAAACTGTTGTACATGCAGTTTTTATATCATATGCAAAAATAACTGGATTTGCAGAGTTTTTAACATAACAGTTCCCCGGTTGAATGTCGGCTCTACGTGACATTATTTGCTGCTTTGCATACAACAACATGCTGCAGTGCATGATGGTTTACCCCTTTGACGTGTGCATGTAATACAACAGCCACTAGTCTTAAGAGAGGCTTAGGGCCAACATGCTTCCACGTCCCTCCCACTGGGCAGTAACACACACACTTATAGGCTGGTAATGATTTTTAGCTATGGGGAGCCGAGCTTCACAAGTACCACTGGCGGTTGCACCAGAATAAATTATGTAGCTCATTTAGTGAGCACGAGAGGCATCACATTGATACACCCTGCGCTACAGACCTTGAATTATTATGGTAAAGTGTGTGTAAGTGCTTTGGGCTGTTAACGCGTGTCCTTGTGAACATATATATATGTGTGCGATGTGATCACGCTGATATTGACTAGTGAACAGAACAGCACGGCCTTACCATTCATGTGTGTGCAGGAGAGAACTTGCCCAGATGACCTTGACCAGTTTTTCACCTGTGTTATTGCTCTTTCCTTTTATATATGTGAACACGAAGGAGTATAGTATAAAGTATATGTTCATACTTATGTGACCCAGAGTGAATTTGTAAGATGGAATGGCTGCCAGTGTAGCATACAGATTTAATGCATCTGGACCCTACCACTTACACACTGACTCCTTTTACAGCTATGTTTGCAGTTATTTTGTGTTGCATTTTGATAAAAATGAGGGAAGGAAACATTAAAGGCGCAGAGGCTGGGGTATCCTCACTTTCTGTCTCTAATATGTGCCGAGCTTCAGAAAAGGCAAAATCCTACACTTCCCATTATGTAACTCGTGGACTTTCTGTTAGACCCTCCCTGCCTGATCTTATATCTTTCAAACTGCAAGCATATATTTACAAGACACTAAAATACCATTATCCAACTAAAAATACACTTTTTTAAAACATGAACACAACATATACTATTACATTATAAATATTGTTCTCCTCTCTCAAGCTCAAAGCTCTCAACTGTAGTGGGAAAATGCATTCAGGGATAAGGTTCTGGGAACATGAAGCAAACTATATTATTGTTGTGTTATTTCATGTTTAATTTTACAGGCTTACAGTGTAATATTTTATGTTCATGTATGTTAATCCTCTTGTATTCACACTCTGGTTGTCTCACCCTAGTTAGGAGAGTGTTATTCAGTGTGCCATGAGCTAAGCACATTCCAACGACCAAGTCTGTCTCCTGGAGAGTAGGGCATCAGTTGTGTTATGACTACTGCTTATCAGACATTAGACGTCACCGATAGACACCCTTGGGAAAGAGGCATATAATGGAGTGATTTTCTTTGTTCTAGTTAGTTGATTCTCGAGACAACTCGGTTTGCTTGTATCCTGTGTTGATGCAAATAGATCTTGCACGTGGAGTGAAACTGTCAATTCTCTTTGCTTTCTGTGAGTCTGTGTCACCATTCTGGGTACCTTCAGTGGGAGTTTGTGGTTTCTCACTAGAGTCAGATAGCTAAAAGTTTATGTCAGATAGACATTGTTTGAGGTGCATTGAGACAAGAAAAATTAAACCACAACACAACTAAGAAGTACAGAAATTAAGTCCATTTTATTAAAAGGTTCAGCCCTTAAAGAAACCCTATGGACTTTTTGACCACTCGTAGCTCTATGGAGAAATGCTTTTACGAGTGGGTCCCTGTTCTGTTTGTATTGTGCACACGCACAAGCGCGCCAGGATGCTAGCTACTAAACATGAATGTAAACAAAGCACAATTTTAAAAATTGCTTTGCAAATCTTTTATGAGGAAGGAAATGCACTCATGTTTGCCAGACCTCAGTAAACACAACTGTTTGTTGACAAGAAAACTCCACTTAAATGATCATATAAGGAGCCATAAAACATGAAAATAACTTTGTCTTCAATCTTAACTAAGTCACATACCATAATCAAATCACATTACGCATCTTTTTTCTTCAGGCAAAACACCAGACCTGCCTGTTTCTGCAGCTAATGCACATAATGTCTTCGATTTGTAGTTAAATTGTGTTTCACATAAGGCTGTACACTGCTGTTGTTTATCATAAGATAATATCTTTATAATGTAGGTGTGTACCAACAGCAACAAACCATAGAGCAAACAGCTAACTTTAACAGACACAAAGCTCACAAAGCTGTTATTCCTCAATGTAATATTATTCATTTTGCAAGTGTGTGCATGTGCAAGTGCCTCGCAATGCACGTGCATGAGCATGTGTGCATGGAGTGAGGACCTGTGTGCGTGTGTGTGAATAAGGGCCTATGCAAATGCTTATCTGCTGGTGCAGTACAAAGTCGAGCAAAGCCACTGCTCGATGGGCGCACGTGTAATTGAGGTCAGAGCACTTGCTTCTCGGCCTTGTTCTCTAGTCAAGTCTCAACAATTTTTTCTCTGGTCATTTCTCTAGCAAAATGTCTGTCATTAAAAGCGCCCGACAACGACTGCCGTAATCCAGCTCCATTAAGATTTTGATTCCCCTTGTCCTCTGAGGACAAGATGTAATAGCTCAAAAACATCTATTTAGGCAGATGGGATTGGATTTATTAAAGGGGCGTATTTCATGAATATAACCTCATCTTATCATCAGCCAAAGCACTTTTGATTACAGGCCCCGAATAAGTGAGTGTCTTTGAGAAGGGTGAGTGCCCTGCAGCTGACCTGGACCTATTGATAAACTAGACGAGTTGGCCATTGGAATGTGTTCATTTCATTATGCCATTAGCAAACCTTAATTAAAAAGTGGTGGGAAAAGGGCACACATCTGCAGTTCCAAATCCTGATGCACACCCAGGGAAGCGAAGGGAACCTCTGAGGATATGAAAGGTAATGAAAGCTTAAATTTCTGGTGTGATCAATGCAGCCTTTGTGTTAGCTTCTTACAATACTCATAAGAGGGAGATAGTGCGTGTGTGTGTGTGCACTATGCTGCTGGGGGTTATGAAAGAGTGCAGGCCAGTCCTAAATGCATTTTGATTTATTCGTGTAGGCGTGCAATACTTTTCCTCTACATTAAATGCTGGCTCGGAGGCTAACCTTTACCTCTGAGTGGAAGCCTTGTTTGGTGGAAGAAGGAATTATTTCAGGGTCAGACGCTGTGCACATAAAAGCTCTGGTAATGCCCAGAGTTTTTTGTTTACTGCATTGGGAAGAAGCAGTTGAGTTTCGTAGGGGTTTGAAGCTTTAGGGGCCTTCTAAAGAAAGAAAAAGACCTCTGCACACATTATGAGGATGTAGGAGACGTTTTACACTGATTTCATTATCACCACTTTTCCTACACAATTATGGTCTTAAAAAAAAAATACATTGCAGCTTACTGCGATAACAAAGTCTCCCACCAAATCTGTGAGCCACCCCTGTCGTTCGGTCACACAAGGTTCATTTCTTGATGGCGGAGCTTTAATTCATATGTCTTGTACAGGGCGACTCCTTGACCTTCTGGATGGAGATTAATGAAGAGCTTTAGTGGTGATGAAGGCTATCAGGCACCATGCTCCCCTCGTCTAATAGAGCAAGAGTTTTACATAGCCAATTATGTCGTTTGCATTCCGCTTGTAAGCACAGTTCTGTCAGGGAGAGCCCAGTTGGCTGTGGTGTATTTGCGGTAGTAAAATATCAGGGTCATTTGGACAGAGCAGGCTGGAGTGAATAATTATTTCTTTGTTGCTCTTGCTTTACTTTCATTTCTAATATATTTGAGAATTAAGCTATTTCATCAAAATCGGTATTGGAATATCCAAAAGAAATTGACATGCAACCTTGTGCCTTTTTGGAACCCTCGATAAGCAACAAAAAGGCCTGTATGTGTGCCATTCTGCAGTTAAACGCTACCATAAAAACATCCACAGCTTTCACAGCCTTTTTGATCATACGGTACAAAGTGTACAAGTGCAATTGCGAGCCATTACCACTCTTTGCTGCAATTATTGTCAGCCAGGCTCTTTTGGTACTACTTTCTACTCTGCTGCTCTGGTCCACACACAAAGTGTATTTTTTTTTTCTTTTACTCTCCAGAAACAGGACTTGAAATTTTGATCTGTGGGGCAGTTCAGCCTCACTATCTTGTCATCTGAAGGGTAAAGACAGATACGCATGAAAGGTACAGGGGAGGCGAGAGGGCGATGGAGAAATCTACTGTAATCAATAGGTGTGTAATTGGAAGCTGTCAGTTAAATGTTTTAGTACCCCCGTTGATAATAGCAGCTCTATCGTTTTTTTACACAAGATAAGGCAATTTGATTCAGGCTACAAGGGGCTAAAGAGTGTGCTCAGCAGGGCGTTGTGTAACATGTGGGG